TAACCCATTACGCAGTTTATTATAAAGTGGATCAATACTGATATTAGTCAAAATCATTTAAGTAAATACAGGGTCGCTGAAAGCAAATAGAGGATCACCTGTACAGTATAATACGATACAATCAATGAGCCCTGCATTAAATACCACTTCTGTCAGAGGTGTGTTCAGCGTTTGTGAGGAAGTGGTTATTCTTTTTATTGGACTAATCTTATCACTGTTCATGTTATTGTGTTGTCCTATCCTACTTTTCTGTAGTGATTTTTCATTGTGATGTTCCTGTACATAATGCAGCATGTAAAGGTGGAGTCTGTGATTCTCTATCTGATACTCTTTTTGTCAAATTCAGTGTATATCTCCTCATAGTCCGCTAGTTGTCCATTCTGTGTGTACACCAAAACAGCCCTCTGTAAATGAGACACCAGGGTTTCTACAGCTTAAGACATGTTCGATTTCAGACTTCTTTTAACTCCACTAAGAACTAAATTCAAGACCAATTTCAAAATAACTTTGAACTACAACTACTTAGGGTCTGGAACAATTTTGCCCAAATATTTATTATAACATAAAACATGGCTATTTTTGTCTTGTGGCAGAGACGAGGGTAAAACAGAACGGGGAAATACCTGGTGTTTGTCTCCAAGTTTTCTTGGCAATTTTGTGATTCTCACTCCTCATGTAAGATTCCATTGCCATCTTGCAGAGTTTGAAAAAGTTTTTGCAAAAAATACACCAAGTCTGGTACACATCGCCTCACACTTTCACTTCCCCATGTCGTTCAGGGTGCAGTTACAGCTAGCTAGCGAAGAGCGGATCCTCTCCTCTGAGCATCACAGCCAGAAACTAAATATAAGTGGGTGGTTCCCGATCCTGATCTGCATGTTGATATCTTTTTTCAGAAACAGATATTGACAATTATTGAGATTTTACAAGTTATAAAATCCTACATCTCTGTCCAAGCAGGGTTTTTGAAAGGACTTTTGAAAGATTGATTTCTGAAATTTTAATAGTAAAGCACTGGTGTAGATTAATAAATTCATTACATGTTCAGACTTTGAGAATTCACAGGAACCCAGGAAACTAACAAAGTGGCTCTGACCGAGCTACAAAACACTATGCCAGCTACTCTCCCTCTTCCACATTTTCTCCATCAGAGCGACACCATGACAGTCATGACACAACATCAGAAACATTACCGGAGCTTCTGAAGGAGCACTGATGCCTGGGGTGCATTTGTTTGGGTGTTAACTTCAAATATCAGCTATCTTTCTAAAGAATCGCAGACTCCACCTTTATGTACATTTAGCCGCTTTATTTTGATGACTACCTCGCCTACACAGAACTGTTGTAAGGGATAATCCCAGTCTTGCCAACTTGTGTTTAAACAATGCAAAATACCATATAATTTTGTGGATGTTAGACTGCATGTGAACATGTGCTGTTCCCCAAATCTATGATGCAGAGTTTTTATCCTGACACTCTGTCAAACCTTTCAGATAATTTATTTTTTTTAACATAAAGACATTTCTCAGCTCTGTAAGTACTCAATTCTCAAAATCTTGAATATAAATTGAGAAAGTATTTGTAGACAAAATAAAATACACGTTAATGTAGTGATTAAAATACCTGCCAAATTTATCATTCATCACTTTTATTGCTATTACTGAAGAATCCTGTGAATCCGGTTCCTCCGAAAAGCAGCTCTGCTCATTGATTTGCAACATTGCCAGCAAAGACTTAATACTTCCAAAGATATTATCATAAAATACACTTGACAATGTCTTATTATCTCACGGTATGTATGTCCAGGCTGCCCAACATTGGTGTATGTGTGAGTGGAGTGGATTTGACATTTTACTCACAGCAACGTCCAGCTGGTCCAAAGGAACAGCCTCCTCAGCTAGCAGCTGCACTGAAGAATCAGCGTTGACTGTTACTGACCCACTGCTCACTGCGCACGCGCGCGCACACACACACACACACACACACAAAGACAAACAGTGTAACTGTACACGTGCCAACACAGTCATCTTCACTGTTCTTTATAACCGATGATGCAATGTGCATTATCTCATCTCAGGCGAGCTTCTGTTCCACAGTGCTGCTAAAACATGATACGTGTGTATATATGAGCTTTATTAGCATCTACTATTTAACTTTTTAGAAGAGAAAAGGTGGAATTCATTGTTATATAATAAAGATAATTTTCATGATTTTGTTAGCATTACAAAGCTACAGCTTCCATAAGTCTGCCACACAGACACACTGTCAAACCCAGATGGACAGGAGAGCGATTAACTTGCAAGATCATTTGTGAATAACTTAGCTGAGCATACAGAAAGAATAATGCGTGTATCATGTTTCAGCACTTCAGGAGGAGGAGGCAGCCTGAGAGTGGGAGAGAAATGTGGTGTTCTCTAGACTGACAGCACTCATATCTTTAATGACTAGTCAAAACAGATATTAACATTTGGCACACTGAAAACAGAAAAGACATCAAATTGAGATGGTGTACACACGTAAACGACTATAACAGTGTATTAGATGGGGATCCGACATTTAGGTTTTAATAATGTGCAACAAATCATTATTGGGTATTGATTGCGTAATCAAAGCACACATTTAGGAATTCAGCGCTTCATATGGACAGCAGGAAAATAAGGATGAAGCAAAGTCTTACCAAAGTATTTGACAGAGGAACCATCATCGCTGAAGACTGTGACAACACCGGGCCTGAGCACCTGCAGAGTGGGTACGTGGGCAGGAAGAATACCGAACGCACCAGTAAGTGTGGGCACATCAACCTGTTTCACACTGGCCTCTTTGAAAAACACCTGGGGAGTGGAGACAAGGGATGGAGAGATGCGTTCACTGACTTGTGGAGTGCTCTGCATCAGTTCAACATTACAAACAATGACTGCTCAAAAATGCTGCTGCCAAACAGTACCATATAATATTTAACAGAATGCTATCAATAGGCATTATAATGTGAGAATATCACTAAGGTTTGGAGATGAATGTTTTTGTCAACCTGCCACTTAGGGGTGGGGGGAAAAAAATCAATACAGCATAGTATGGCGATATTTTTGTGTGGCATTATCATATCGTTATACAATGCCATGTACTGTTTTATTTATTATATATGTTATTGAAATGACAAGTACAAATTTGACTTTAGGGAGCCTACTAGAATAATATAATGGCCTCTCAATAGATTACCCTTTTTATTTTACTTGTGAGTGAAGCAAATCTAGCAGTACATTTAGTACATTTTACAAGCATTTGGCTGGTACCATGTGCCATTTTAAAACCCTGCAACCACTGTCTGTCATCTCTCTGTTCATTCAATATGATGCATTACTACTGTTGATATGTCTTTCTCTTTAATTATTAGTTCAAATACACAATTTTGCAGCAGAATGTGGGTTAGACTTGCAGCACTGTGTGAACCTGGACTCTCAAACCTGCTGGAACAGTGAAGTACATAAAGTAAAGCATAGCTCAAGGTTACATAGCTCTGCAGTCAACACTTTTGTTGAGTGACGGCTTTACAATGGATATAACCTTACACTACTGACACACATTTCAAAACACATGTGCAAATGTTACATATAAAGCCAATGAACTGGAAAACAGTAGTACCGGTTCGCTGTAGTGTTTCATTTTAGCCACAGTGCAGGTCAAAGACAGTGAATGACAGCTAGTTTAGCTACCGTTAGCTAGCTAAGCTAAATCCTTAACTGACAGTGCAGTACACCTGAACTGCACGCGTGCATTAAATCTACTATAACAATACTATGTGTGGCAATGACAGCGAAACCATGCATTAATACACAGCTGCAGCTTTTCTTCCCTACAAACTGACAGTGCATTACAACAAGTTAGCTGTGTAGCTAGCTGGGCCCGAGAAGCCTCGCCAGTAACGTAAGCTAGCTAACCTGTGTCGGGGAGGCGAACGTGAAGGACATCTGCGGGGCACCAGAGGCGGCCTCGGCGTAGGAGCGAGCTTGCCTCAGCATGGGGAGACCACGGCGGAGAAACCTTGCTGCCATCATGTCTGAAAAATCTGATTTTATTCAAGTTCAAGTGAATGACAGAGATCCTCGAGCCCTTGCGTGAAGGCAATCGGTGTGCGCTTGCTGGTACAAGGACGTTGGTAACCTACCCATAAGGCTTTACGGGGGCGCAAGGGATGCTGGGTAGCGTAGTCTTTTGATGAACAAGCTTACAGACAGCTTTGAGGTTGAATTTGTGGGTGAGTTGTGAATTTAAGCGGTCGGTTATCATCCTATTAGCCTCATAACGAACTCAAGTAAGTATTTTATCATATATTTGAAGAAACGTAGCTTCAGACACGAACAAAAGGTGTCTGTTTCAGCTACTAAATCAGAAATACCGTTGTGTTTTATTCTCGCGAGGTTTACAACCGAAGAACGTTAAAGAAGCAACATTTTGCTAACAATATCGCGTTTTACAAACCGTTTATCGCCTTAATTTACTGTTTTAAACTTTGGTTTTGAGGTTATGAGGCTACTGAGTACACAACACCAGTAGATGGCGCCAAAGTTATGTGACATAGCAACAGATAGGGCCCCAGTGTGGTCTGAAATCAAGTTTTTGTTGCTCTTTTGTCTGCCACTTGTACAGTGTTGAAGACCCAACATACAGAAAGACTAGCTGAGTTGTGAAGCTGGACTGCGTCGCCATTTTGCCCACACCTGCAAGCGAATGACTGCGTTTTACAAACGTAAAATAAATCTATGAATGAAGTAAAGAGCATAAATGTGAATGTAAAAATGTATCTGTAAAAGAGGGGATGTTATAGGTTACATTTACTGAGACACTAAGGCTTCCCTGACACAGAAACAGTGTCTGGGACTGACTGAGCATCAGGCTAATTAGGAGAAACCCTTCAATCACTAAGCTTTACCTCACTCCGTGCGTCACGTGCTGCGCCTCTGACTGGGTGGTGGGCGTGTCTTAAACAGTGGGGTTTCATTCATAAATACTTTTAGCTTTAAAATCCACATTAAAGTGTTCACAGAAGAGTTTCATGTTATTGACTTTGCCCCTCCACCTCTGCATGGACCCGGCCAGCTGAGTAGGTGAGTGCGTACCTCCGCCGCATGCCTGCTCGTCTCGCTCCGTGCAACCGATTCATATCGTGAGCTGCCGTCTTTCTCCGTCGGTGCCACCGGACTGATGAAAATCACAGGCGCCTGTGAAATATCAAGATGGCATATTTATTAACATCGCCGGAGCGTGGCTGCTTTTCATCAATTTTTAAAGTTTACTATCGGCTTCATTACATCACGTAGTGTGATGCGATTTTTGTCTGCTTGCAAAAGATCTTATCAGCCACAGCTCCACAAGGAAACAGCTGCCAGAGCCTGAGACCACGCTCATTATTTTGTATTGCAGCAGCGAACAATAAGAAACGGGATGCTTTCTTTTGTGCAGCAATGTCTCATTTTAAACAGGTTATTACAATGTCCAAAATCAGCCATTACAATGCTGTGCTGAGCTGTTGTGGTAATCATGGGACGCAACATAAAAGGCTACTGAAGGCGAGAATCAGACCCAGTATAATTCCAGTAATGCAGCTGGCATAGATAGACGGAAATTTTGTTAGGCATGACGGGACATGGCTTTGCTGGGACACCTGTGTCTTACCATCTGCTCTGCCAACCAATCAATAGAGCAATCTACAGGGTTTGCAACACCATGGAAGTAAACAATTCTCAACAAAGTACAAGGCTGCACTGATTTGCATTGCTTACTTTTACAAATATGGTTATTTCTCCTGATATTTATGAAAGCCTAACAACAGGTGTAAGTAGGTTATCTGGATTTATATCTGGTTATCAAGCTGAATTATTGCATTTAATGTACATTTTTTGTTTCCCAATGTTGTAAGAATTCTTCAGTTCTTCAAAATCTGATGTTTTTTGTGATAAAATGTTGTGTTTTCCATGAGCATTACTACTAAAACACTGTAAAGGAAAGCCTGTGCATATGTTGAATGCAGGCAGTTATGTAATCCAAACTTATCTACACAAACTGAATAATTAACCAGTCATTCTGCCGTATGTTTTTCATCAGCCATGCAGCACTGCCGTCCTGTTGCTCCGAGGCCAGTGGGCCAGCCCTGAGGGGGAACGCTGCTGCTGCTGCTGCTGCTGCTGCTGCTCCGGCTCAGTCGGCTGGGTGGGCTGCTGAGGTGGCTGAGGATGCAGCAAGGGAGCTGAGGAGGAGACTCCTGAGCCACAGCCTGACACACACATCCAGAGCTCGCTGCTGCTGCGCACTGCCCTCCTTCAGGGTAAGACACTGGGGCTGGTAGAAAGCAGGATGTGGTACAGTACTGCGAAGGGAAGCATTCTGGTCACAGCCTGATGTGTTTCCCGTAACTGTTTTCACGCTCGGACGGTAGGTGCAGAGAGTTAGACAGGCTGGCAGCAAAACAGCCACGGCGGCAATAGCTTACAGGTTGTGGTGCTGAAGTTGAGTGCTGCAGTGACTGGCAGGAGAGCAAGGAGCGCTGAGTGCTGCTGGCATGTTGCTTCTACCCTGCTGGGTGAGTAGATCTATCCAAGGTGTGTGTGTGTGTGTGTGTGTGTGGGCGTTTGGTGCAGCAATAGCTGTATTAATGACCATGATCTGTTAGAGCAAACGCATAGCAGCAGCAGTAGTGGCATTGGAGCTGCTGGAGCCAGTGTTTAGTGAAATCTGGTGTTTCTTTCTGTGTGTGTGTGTGTGTGTGTGTGTGGGAGGTAGATAGAGTCTGCAGGCTGATATGGAACTATGTGTGATGATTTGCAGGCAAGATGCTAACATTTGCATCTTCTGTGGGTTTCGACGCAGGCGCACAAGCACACGCCGTACACACATACATTTGGTTTCTGCTTTGTCTTGCTGTCTTTCATGGCTGTGAGATGCAACAAGATTTTTCTGCAGTGACGGGAATCTTTTATCACATCGTACAGTGTTATGATAAATCAGACATCAGTTTTAGGTTTTTGAGTTTTAAGTTTAGTTTTCTGTTTACATGTCTGGATTTATCAACACAGATAAAACGCAGTATCTCTGGTGGCTGACTTTGTGTTTTGATGAACAGCTCCAGTAACAGTCATTTCCTCTGTGTGCTTGTGTGTGTGTGCATGTGTTATCTCTCAGGGGGACTCTCTAGTTGGCCTGGACCATGAGCAATGAGTCTACCGTCTGGAACATCCTACCAAAAAACTCCACAGTAAGTCTGCCTTTCGCCACCGGCTTATTCTCAAACTTCCTGTGAGTGTGTGTGTGTGTGTGTGTGTGTATTTTTTGTGTCAGTGTGTGTTGTGTCCAGCTCCCCACCAGAACCATTCTTTCCCTCATATTCTCTTCTGGCCGATTGACCGGCTAATAGAGAACATCCTGACCTGGACCTGACATAATTAAATCTCTGATCTAATCTCAGCTTTAATTTCCTCTCGCAGAGAAATTAAAATGTGACGTCAGAGTCTGGCGCTCATTAACACTTGCTCTGCGTTCTCCCCTCGTAGAGTTCAGCACAGCACGCCATCTATAAGGTCATCATTCTGATACTGAACGTCTGTTATCTTTATATAACATTGGCTGTCACGTCATTCTGATGCTCCATAAAAGAACAAAGCCTTCTGTTGTTCTCTACTCTCCCACTCATGTTGCCATCTATCATTTTATTTAAACTTCTTCAGTCCTTCTTCTTTAGCCTACATGAACACGATGAAACCGCATGGGGAAGCAAAATTCAGCTTATTATTTTTATTCATTAAATAAAAAAAACCCAAGTAAATTCAGAGATAAAATCTAAAAAAAATGGCAATTAAATAGTAATGTAGTAAATTAATTCCACCATATCTATACATCTATTATCTAAAATAATTTAAAACGTTACCAAGACAAGAGAAGAAACTAAAATACATATATGTTATTGTGGGGGACACATGAAACAGGGGGTTTGGAGGTCCTTCGCCAGAAAATTTTGAGCACCAAACACCTCATTTCTTTCTCTCCGGTTTTTAACACAAACATCCATTTTCTGCCTTAATTTATGGTGTAAATTTCTTTAATTTTGCCAAAGTAAAAGTCCTCTACTCCTTTCATGTTTTTATTGGGTGGGACAAATGCATATATTTTAAATATTTAGGGGAACGTGCGCCCTGAGTCCCACCTGAAAGCTACACCTGTGTATCCATTTGTTATTTCTTTGTTATTTTTGGAATTTATTTATCTAATCAGTTAGTTATTCACTGATTTGCTCCCTCATAAATCAGGTTTCCACAGTAAAATGTGATTCCTAGCTAACAGTTAGCAGCGAGCACTGAACTGCTGATTGTTTTAAGGAATAACTGTGGACTCACAGTAATGCAAATGTCCAGATGAATGCTAGGGCCAGTCATGGACTTATATTGACAAAAATATGTACTTGTTGAGGTAGCAGATCATACACGAAGGTGGCATCTAGGGGTGAGGTTGCAAAACTGAAACTTCTCTGGTGTGCCAAGCGAGTAGGAGAAATATGGTGGCCGATGTGAAACCACAAAAAAGCAGATGGCCCTATCTAGAGCCAGTGTTTGATTTGTCCATTCTGGGCAGCTGTGGAAATAACATGGTGGACTCAGTGGCCAAGGACTCGCTCCGTATGTAGACATAAATGGCTTGTTCTAAGGTAAGGCCCCTTTCCCACCACACAAAAAAACACCAACACCTGCTAACATCTGGCTTTGGTATTTAGTGTGAAAGGTCACAATCCCCATCACTTCTGGTTCAAATGACTCTGCAGTAGTCACTGGTATTTTTTGGCTCCAGCTTCAATTGGCAGTGATGGAAATACAACACCTGGGTGGATATGCTAATTTTAGCCCCTTTGCCGGTAAGATGCAATGACTGGCTGCCACAAAATACCATCTGTCTCCATCCAAGCAGCACTCAAACATCTTTTAAAATTTAGTCGGCACTGAGTTTTAACAGTTAAAGAGACTGAATAAGTAAGAAATATAAAGAAAAAGTAACCACCGTAACATTTTCACTGGCCTCCATACTGCTTTTGCTGTTTACTGACCCTGTTTTCCAGCTCATCCATGACATTGAATGTGACAAACCAGAAAAAAACAACAACATACAGAACAGAACAGAAAGGCATACTGATCTGCTGCAGAGCCATGTACACAGCTCTGGTCTACTGGCAATGCAAAATGAGTGAAAATGGGTTTTCCAGTGTTTGAAAAACACACATACACACGCTAATTTTGGTGGAAATGGGGTATTAGTTTTAGGTGATTACAATTCAATCCAGTTCAATAGAACTTTATTCATCCCAAAGGAAATCCCTGTGCCAGAGAATGCTTCAAATTACAGTAACACTAAGTACAGTAACCACAATTTAACGTTCACAACCAGAGCAACCAGTGGGTTCCATAAGTCAGGGTCACTCACTGGGCCCAGTTTTAGAACAACAGAATATTAAATATCTGGCAAAAAATACAAATATGCAAGTGTTTTAAGGGAGCAAAAGAAAAAAAAAACAGTGTCTAATAGAGTGACAACAGGAGTAAGATAAGTAAAAGAGTTACTAAAAATGAACTAAAATGGTGGAAAAAGCAGACTGCGCCCGATAGTTAAAGTTATATTGAATATGATATAACAATGAGAAGTAGTATTGCACACAATGTTGTGAAAAATACTGCACAAGATATTGAAAAGTAGTAACTAATGCACTTATTAATAAGCTAATGAAAACAGTCATGAATGTTATATACTAATTCTGCCAATAGATTCCCCTGAATCCTACATACTGGCCCTTTAAGCAGTGACAGACACGGGCCTGTTGTTAGTAACAGCTTTCCATCTGCTTTTCTTGTTGGCAGATTGAAATAAGTTTTTCCAATGAATAAAGAGAGAGAGATTTCAAGATGTCCTCCTTTGTCGAAACATGATTATCCTCACAAAACTAACGGAATATTGTTACTAGAGCCCCTACTTGTGCTTCTTGTGTGGTTAATTCACTCAGCTGCAGTCCTCCCTGTGAGAGCTTTCCCGTAGCTAAGGTACACTGTAGACAGGTTAATAGCCCTGGCATTTATTGATTCATTTCACTGTTGCATTTATAGATTCACTTTATGCAGGCCAACCAGGCAGTGGGGCTGAATCAATCCTTTAAGCTGCGTGGCGGTACCAGGAAGGTAAAACAGCTGCAGAGTAAGGTAGTCAAATCAAGGCTGCAGCTGATGTGTCGAATCGGGATGGCATTTCTCTGATCACGAGTGGCATACTAATAACATGTCCCTCTGTCTTATTACAAAAATGTGACTCCTGATTCTGAACTGAGATACAGCTGTACCTGTTTCATAAACAGGTTAAGGCTATTTTGAATCTGAGTTGAGAGTAGTCGTGTTTCTACCTCTCCCTCAGCTCAGAGAGGTGCAGCATTTTCCATCAGTGGATAGTTTCAGTATGTTGATGCTTATGTGGGAAGCTTTTTGTTTTGCTGTTAAAGTAGCACACTTAATATCCAAATTCAGCACAGGAAGACACCTACATTTCTTCCTGTTATATATCTACTTAATTTCCCGTCACTGCCCACTCATAAATCTGAGTTGTATCAAGGTACAATTACCAGCTAACAGATCCGTCGCTACAGTAAAATGAAGGTACATATATAGACTTTTTTCACTGCAGACCTTTGGCTTGTCATCGTAGGAAAAAGAACAGGTGTTACTAATAATCTTTCCAACCATCTAATTCATCTGTGCCCTCCTCTTTGTATCTCAGGAGATCCCAATCGAGGCCGAGGAGCAGAAAGATGGCTACGTGCTGCTCCTGGTGATCCTCTCCATCTTCCTGGTAGGAACATTGATCTTCATCTCTGTCTTCCTCATCGCCTTCCGTCGCTGCTGTCGAGGAGGGCAATGCTGTGCCAGGTGCGATGCAAAAACTATGCATTACATTCAGCATGTTAGCACTTCATGTGACACACTTAGCTGGAGCGACTTATGAAGAGTTTAGCAGCACAAGCTCAAAGTCCAGAACACTGGAAGTAACCAACAGTGAGGACCTATATGAGGGGTGGGCTTAATAACAGCAGCCAGCAGCTACACAGTCTAATAACAGGAGCACTGTAATAAAAGATAACTTTGTTGGCACTGTGGCACAGAGGTGTTCATTCAACTGATTGAGGCTATAGGATGTAGCATTGTAGTGTTGGTTTTCATTATAATATATTATATTGTTGGCTGGTTTTGCTGTTATTTAAAGGGTGACTTCTGTATTTTTCAACCTGGACCACATTTTCTGATGTTTTTTGTGTATAGGTGACTAATGGGAACAACAATTTTTGCAATTGGTCCAGTAGTGAGCGAAACCACTGAAGACAGCAGCGGCGAAACAGGCCACAATGTAACCAATTTCAACCAATTTCGTCAATTTAGGTCCACTAAAAGTGCTTGTTTTTGCCACAGACAGGCTCAGATTGTTATTGTAAGTGTCTGAAAACATCATGGAAAGGATCCCTACTGAGATAGACCTCTTTGACAAAGTGTAAGATCTTTGTTGTTGTTTAACCAGAAACAGCCGACAAATCATTATCATCAAAGCCACCAGACTGTAAATAAACAGCAATTTTATCATTGTAAAACACACTTTATCTAAAGCCAACAGAGGCAAAATAAAACTCAAAAAGTGTCTTAAGTTTGTCTTTCCAATGTGGAACAATCACCAACTCTAGTTTGGTTGAATTAAACCTATAACTCACCCAGTTAGATGTGCAAATATTCTGGCATCTGGAGTCTGGTATGTTTGGCGATGGTAATTTCAAGTCTGTTTCTGGTTAAATAAAAAGGTCTGTGTCAGTAGGAATCCTTTTCAAAATGTTGTCAGACACTTGTAAAGTGGGATTTTTACTTGTGCATCAGCTCTGTGCAGAGCCTACGCTGTAGTGAGCATTTATACTTGTGTGGTGGTGGTGTGTCTATGTCATTAAACATGGCTTAATAGAGACAATTTCAAACACATGTACACAAATCGGCTTCACTATAACTCGCAGCTTTCACAGACAAAACATCTGTCTTAATCTGGACACATTTTCCCCACAAATACAACATGCGAATGTTATTAGCACAAGCCTATGGCATTTTACATTGTATAAATTAGTCTAGCAATGAGCGGGGGTTTTCTCTGCTCATATGAAACCAGGATAAATCCCACGCAACACTTAAAATGCTATTTTTTGGAGGCTTTTATTGTCTGTGAAATTAAAGTAAATAAAAGCTTAATTTCCACTGAGGTAAATGTTTCAGCTTACAAAAATAGACAGGAGGCCTGCATTTGACCTGTAGTTACATTTATGGGGAGGTGCACGTCAGGCTACAACGTAGGTTCTATGTAAACGCAGAGCCTATGCCATAAGGATGGCATTAATTTAACGCAGAAGTATAAATCCCGCTTACTCACAATCTGAGCCTGTCAGTGGCAAAAACAAACACTTTTAGTGGATGTCAATTGACAGTACTCAATTGCCCCCAGGGATTACATTGCAGCCTGTTTCACCGCTGCTGGCTGCAGCGATCTCATGCAATATTGGACAAATTTCAGAAACTGTTGTTCCCATTAGTCACTTAGATACAAAAAGATGGGAAAATAGTGGCCAAACTGGAGAATACCAAAGTTACCCTTTAAACCCTCAAACCCTCCTATGTAGGGTTGCAATGATACAATTTTTCTTTAAACAAATGCTTAATTATAATTAAAACTTAACACCATTTTTTGATGGATAAGTGAAAAGTCTCCCTTTTGAAAACAAATAAAGGTGAGACTCAGTCAGGTTGCTTTTTTTTCAATATTGTTGATAAGCAAATATTCATGGTATGATAACTGTCAATTTTCATGCCAGGGTATACTGCTGCAACCCTACTCCTATGATGCAGTCCACCTTAATGACACCAAACTTCACAACGATAGTTTAGTCTGCAGGTGCACAGGTGATTCTTATACTCTGTTGTATCAAACACACATGAGTACACACAGTTGACAGACAGAGACTACTCCTCCTAACCTCATATGCTACTACTATTTTGAGACAAGCTGATACTTATGTTGAATGTGTATACTTGTATAATAGATAAGGCTCATTCAGTTGCAGATGGAGCTAACTACTTCCTGTGCATTCGTCCAGTTTGCTCCACCCAGTGAATCCCAAACCCATCTTCAGCATGATTCCATTAACAGACAGTGCAGTGATCCATTAAACAAATTAAAGCATCTGAAGCTGTGCAGCAGTAGGTAGTAGAAAAAAATTATGTAAGTCCACAGAGACTCATATAAGCATGTTAAAGCAGGAGGACGCCGTGCATTCACTCATGAAATGTGTTAGCCGTTTGACTGTCAGGACCCCCTGTGGGGCCGTTATGAAAACACCTTGTCGGGAACACATTCAATATTCATGCTCATCTATTTGTGATTCATCTGTGTTTATTCAGCAGTAACATGGCTACCCTCCAGACGCTTTGTCCCTCTCTACAGCAGCACGCATCATCAAGTACACTTGAATATACGAGAGCGCACCAGCTAGATGCAGATAAACAGCGAGCACAGAGGCCGAGCCGTGAAAAGGCGAGGCTCGCCGGGAGGAGAGCAGGGGAGAGTCGGGCAGACTGGTACAAATGATGAGTGTAATGAGATTTCATAGCAGCCATCGGCGGTGATTAATCTCGCATCTCAACCCCAGCCCCGTGTGCACACATAGCTCACACACACACACACACACTGTGAGGAAGTGGGAGCCACAGAGGAAATGAAAGACAAGAAGAAGCACAGATCTGGGTGGACGGAGAAATCCCTCAAGTCGATTCACACCCACACACACACACACACACACACACACACACAAGTACACACATGCAACTCATAGCTCTGCACAATGAAATCAGATGGAGACTGGGAAGAGCTTTCGGTTTCTTTTTTCCGCCTCATAATGTAAATCCTGGGTATGGGTTTAAAGAAGCTTGTATGGAGAGTCAGCAGCAGTGAGAGAAGTTGAAACGGGAAGGTTTAAATACAGAATATACTGAAATGATGATGCAAACTCCATCCTCTAAACAATGTGACCTTTACCGTGTATTTTCTCTGTGCCCTTAAAGATGAGTGGAAATGTGCAATCCAATAAAGCACCATGCTTTATCAGTTCAAGAGGTCCCCTGGCCCTCAGGGTTATCAAGTTACTGGCAATGATTTAGGTCCTCATTGATTATACAGCCAGGCAGGCAGCCATTTAGACAAAGAGCATGGTGAACGCTCAGTCCTAGACTCATGTCCTGATAGTTGTCTTATAGCTGAACAGAAAGGTCAAACAGGAACTCAGCTGATTGTAAAGCCTTGTACTGTGGTTGCCTGTTTGGTCGCCGGCATCAGTGGGGTTCTACAGATGAAAGACAGACTTCAGGTGTGATCGTGTCACAGCATTGATGTGAATGTTTCTGTGTGCCCCAGGGCCAGCGATGACCCTGAGAAAACCAACACCACCTACGTGGAGGAGTCTCAGCCCACCCATGGTAAGAGCAAAATGGACAAAGTGGAAGAAATGTAGGCAGGGAAGGATGAGGAGGTGACTGAGGGAGGGAGGAGTAATGGAGACGGGCAGGCTGGGAGATGGAGGGATTGGATTGATGCAAGCAGGGATATTTTTATCGTGTCAGCACAAATGCGTAATGTCTATTCCATTAAAATATTGTGATCCCGACCCAATTAGTTTAAGTAGCTGTGCCATTCCTGGAACACATTTTGACATTTTGGGACCAGTGGATGCACTCATATGCATGTCTAAGATGAAAGTGATTTATTAAGAGGCAGCATCAGTTTGGCACCAAACTGCTTTTGTAAGGCTTTTCGTTTAGTTTTTAAGTCAGCAGTTTGCCATGTTACCATACTCATCCTCCACAGAGGTGTCTGAACATAAGACGCTTCACTTCACTGTAAATATACAGTGTAGCAGACATGGAGATTTTTACAGTGTGATTCATGGTTGGTGCTTTGAACCCCCATCAGAGCACTTGAGCAGTATTTGTGGGGGTTACTTTGAAATGTAACAGGTTAGAGATTACTAGTTACCCTGTTGAAAGTGTAATAAGTAATGTAACTATTGAAATTACTTCATCAAAGTAATGTAACTTATTACATTTGATGACTTTTTGATAACTTTTTTAACAGATGTTTTAAACCGGGAAATAAAGCTGAAAAGTTTTAGGAACATAAGTGCGTAAGTGTTGCCCCAACGGCTTTGCTAAAGCCTGTGGTCTGAAAATGTGCCAAAAGAAGTTCCCAGTGGTGTAGTGGAGGGTATACGCAGGTATACGGGGTATACCCACATCTTTTTACGGCCATTTACTCACCTATCAGCCAAAAAGCTGTTAGACTATATAGGAGAGTATGCCCACTTCTTCCTCTGTAACCTACCCATCTACCAAGTAGTACATCTACCTCATCAGCTACCACTACACCACTGGAAGTTCCTATACAGCGACAAAATGCAAAGCAACAGAGTGAATGTTGTACTCTACATAATAAACTTGAACTGAAAATCCCACCCCGCAGACTGGCCAATCATAACGTAGCATTGGGACGGCTCAGACCAGGGTCCGACAACAACACACCTGTGCTCCATTGATTCTAATGCAGTCGTTTCAGTTTTCCTTCATTTTCAGGCTGGTTTTGTGGATTTGGAGCTAAATGTTGTGCCTGGGGCACGTCGTGTATTAATGATATTCGTTATCTGGAGAGGCTGGAAGAAGATATACGTTTCTTCCCTGTTCCCAAACCAAAATCAAACCCTGAAAAGTGTAGGGTTAGCTAGCTAGCTACTGAAGATATAGCCTACTGAATGTATACACATGCTGCTTTTGCTTTTTAATGATTATAACAGTGACACAAAGACCGACCCTGCTGTACAGGAACCAGTGAAGGGAAGCAGGGAAACTTTGCTGATATTCAGCCAGCTGTGTGTCATCACAGTGTGCACAGATGAACGGTGTTTGACGTCCGGTGGTGGAGGTCCGGGTGCTGTCAGCTGCACAGGGGCGAAGCCAAACACCGTTCATCTGAACACAGCTGGTTCAATATCAGCAAAGTTTCCCTTTATATTCATTGTCTTCTGTGGCGATCAGCAGTGATGTGGTGGTTTACTTTTACACTGTGAGCTGTAGCCTATAGTTCAGCTTTTGCAGGGTAAGCAGGGTAACACAGACATGCACACAAGTCATTTTTTGCAAGTCCAAGTCAAGTCTCAAGTCTTTGAAGGGTAGGTCCAAGTTGTTTTCAAGAAGAATGATAAAGTTTAGTATCATCGAGTTTAGTATCCTTTATTTTGATACCACAAACGATGCATTTAGTGATTCTTTTGTTAGGGCCTTGTATGAAGATATTATAGACAAAGATTATGACAAATGGCACTGCAGCTGCATGTGTGCTCACCATGATGTTGTTGCTGCAGTCACTGTGGCTGCACACACCACATTATGCACAATAATAAAGGAAGAGATGATATTCAGCTTGTCAGACATTTACGTAATGTTAATGTGCTGAAAAAAACTGTTCATGAGTCCCAAATCTTAAGTCAGAGTCAAGTCTCAAGTCTTTTGAGGATGAGTCTTCAGTCAAGTCTCAAGTCACTGTGTGTGCAGCTAAACTGCGACTTGAGTCCAAGTTCAAACTCAAGTTCTCATCTCTGGGCTAACATGCTCTAAGAGCCAATGCTAACATGCTAATGTTAAGCACGTATAATGTTTCCCATTTTCGCGTCTTTATATAGTCTGTTAGCATACTAACCTTTGCTAATTAGTGCTGAATACAAAGTACAGTTTTATAGGTATTTGGTTATAAACCATAGTATTTAGAAATTAACATTTTGAGCACCACATTGAATAGATGTTGAGATATTTCACTGAATGACAAAATCTCTTGCTCTTCCTTCGCCCATCTCTCTGTCTGCCTCCTCTGTCTCCTTCCTCTTGTATCTCTGGTAGAAATCACCATCAGGGTGGATGAGTCAGAGTGCCTGTCAATGGCCAGCTCTCACGACCAGGAGACTGAGCGCTTCCTCTCCACGGGCACCACAGGCCGTCGTGTCTCCTTCAATGAGGCTGCGCTCTTCGATCACGGCAAGAAAGCCCAGGAGAAGGGCCGCAGGTTAGAGAGTCAACACACACAGAAGCCCACATTTGCAAATGCTTCTTATTCAGTGTTCAACTCGCATTAATGTCTGTGCGCTGCAGCTTTACTGCTTTCTGAGATCAAAGGATTTACACGTTTAACTGTGTCCATCACTCTTCTGTGTTAGTTTAGGGTTAAGGATGAATCCAGGATGCATTATGTATGCTGTGGACACAAAGAGCACTCACCCTTCCTCATTATTTCACTGCCCTATTTTTCTCTTGAGCCTGATATGCAAATTCTTCAGAAGGAATTATTCTTTGGGGCTAAATGCAGAATCCAGTGAAGGTGTGATGGGTTTGAAGTCAGATATTTCCCCTTGGCTGTTCGCCTCTCACACAGGGATGAGCTTCATGATTTATGACTTATTGAGAATGTATCCAACTTATGTCTCATCTTGAAAAGATTTTATAGCTTCTGATTTAACTCTGTGTCGTTCACCCCAGGTACACTCTGACCGAGGGCGACTTTCACCACCTGAAGAACGCCCGGCTCACACACCTCCACATCACTCCCCCAGCTCTCAAGATAGTCACCATCCACGAGTGCGACTCGGCTGAGAACAGCATCACCATGACGACGCGCCCCGTCACTAAGTCGGCCCTCTCCATCTTCCAGGTGACGGCCTTTAACCTGCTATTAGTCCTGAAGCATCGTTAGACGTGACTGGGGTCAATTAGAACATCAATCACTGAGGTCAGGGCAAGAAAATATATCAAGCTAATGTAGCCAAACACAGGGATCTCTCAGAAAGCGCTCTGCCTGCTCATTTCAACAGGCTGCGCACATTGATTTTCCCATTTAGATGTTCAATCGTTGGCGCAGGGCTGACAGCTGGGGAGAGGATCTGGACTTAATATTCATTCATAGATGTTAAACATGAAAACAAACTTTTGAAGTTGAGCTACAGAACGTGTCTGCAGTCGTATGATTCTGAATATCTGGATTATTCAACAGAGCTTCACTGAAAACATGCATGTTCAACAACTGATTCAAAATATGGCTGGACAATATGGAGAAATCAAAATAATGATATTTTTGACCAAATACCTTGATACCAATATTAAAACAACATTGTAGGGTTGACTATTGATACTTTCACATAAAATTTTCACCATGTGATTGTTGCTGAATAATCACATGGTGTAATGTGGCTAGAATGACTAATTGGATAAAGCAAATAACAGTTCAGAAAATTACATCACTTTACTGTAATGCAGTCTTTAAAACCAGTAAAAGACAACACTTCCGATATTACTAAATCCAAAATCTAAAACGATATGTAGTCTCATATATATCTAGTCTCATATGGTGGTATTGATATAATATTGATGTGTTGCCCAGCTCTAATTCAAAAGGAATAAAAATGTCATTTTTGTGCTTCCCTTTAGCCGATGCTGTGCCCCCTGCCACAAACAGCGTTGACCAGCCTGAGCGTCAGTCCCAGCTGTGCCCTCCCTGGAGATGCTCTCAACTCTGTGGTGGACACCAGCTTCAGTGAGAACACTCTCGCTCTTGGCACCAAAGAGCCGAGCTCCAGCTCTGTGAGTTACCTCCAACTATTGTTAAATATATTTCACATCAAGTGATGAAGGCAGGGTTCCTGCGGATCCTTAACAAGTCTTAAAAGGCGTTGAATTCAGTAATCTAAAAAATGTTAAATCGATCTTTTGTAAGTCTTCAGAATGGTGAGATATGGAAAGTAGGATTTTATGAATTGTTTTTTTCTGATGTTGCATTGTAAAATCTCAAAATAGTTGGTAACTTTTAAAATATATATATATGTGTAATTTGCTGAAGCCTCTCAGATTAACATCACCCAAAGTGATGTTTTATGTTACAATACTAAATAACATTTGGGCAGAATTGTCCCTAACTCTAAATAATTGATGTGTGTTTTGTTTTGTTTTTCATTAGTATTGGTTTTTGTAAAACTGGTCTTAAATTTCATTGTGAGTGGCTTTAAAATAGTCTTAAAAACCACTTGTCTTAAGCTGTAGGATCTCTGGTAATGAATTCTGTGTTTGGCTCGTCACAGAGAGATTTTGTACATGAAATACATTTGAAAACACAGGTGCAAATACCTCACAAGTAGGGATGTGCACGAGTCAGCTGATCGACTAGTCAGTCCAGTGTGCTGTGGGCTTTTGTGATAACCACACATTATTATTGCAATATTCAACTGGGCCTATACAAAACGTTAAGAATGAATTTTTAATCGACTGTATCAGTGTGTTGTGTGCACCCATTTCCTAATAAAGAGGCAAACTCTAGCTGAAAAATGTAATTTAATTAAAAAAACCTTCACAAGAAACCTATTTTTTGCTGTTTGTGTGTGGGAATTACAAGAGTGTGACACATGATAAGCTCTGACTGGCAGCCAGTGTGAGGGATGATGACAATTAAAAGGAGAAAGCCGTGAGTGGGACAATTGATCGCTTTATTGTACGGAGCATATTACAACAAAGCACCAGCGCAGACGGCCTACCACTAATAGAAAAAAAATGTCAGTTGACAGTAACACAAAAGCTACCTGTCTTATTTTTTCTTATTTATATTGTCTTATGTCGCGATACATTATAGATGCTATTGTGCACAGATACAAATACAGGTACATGGGCACAAAAAGTTTAAAAATCACCAGACTAGTTGATTAAATGTTACGACCATCAGAAATACTAGTCAGTTAGACTTACTATTAACGTTATTTTACTGATACACACATTATATACATAATTTGCATCAAAATGTCTCTCCAGTCAAATGTTGATTTATAAAAAACAAGCATCTGTTAGCTACTGACGTTAACAAGGCTGGATTACAGAAGAAAAACGAAGGAAAAACAAACCAAAAAAATCACATTTGTCTATTTTTCCCACAAGAAGGGAGGTGGAAAGTCGGGCAAAGATGACGTCTCATAAAACCAGCGTAGTTTGACAGTGTTTTGATTTTATTTAGTGAGCTGTTCATAATGTACGGAGCAAAGCGTGCCACATTTCAGCAGCATTTAAGATACGATTTGGTTATTGAAAGATGTGATTAATGATTCCAAATAGCTCTTATAATGTATGCAATCATATTTTCTGACAGTGTTTACTGTCATATTATGTAGGCTTATCTTCCATTTTGATATGAGTCCATAACCGCTCCCAAGAAGATACTCCTTTCTCCTGATTACAGTTTATTCTTACATACATACATTCATAAGATGCTATTTCCACCATTGCATTCACCCATTCTTTCAGTTCAACAGCTCAGTTTTGTCTGTTGTCTGAATGCTTACTTACTTTTAAACTAGCCTACTAGTCTAAGTTTAAACTTCCGCTTCAACGAAATTAGTAGTAAGGAACATCCCTACTCACTAACACTGAGTGTGCATACAAATCACCTGTAAGAGCTCATGTTGTGGAAACATGCCGTATACAGGTCAGAGTGAAGTGTGTGGAGTTAATCATTTGTGGAGTGATGAATTATTTTAAGACAGTCACTCAGCACACTAAACAGCTATTCAAGCAGCCAGTCAGCCATTGAGTCATCCATAAGGACATTAGAGGGTCACAGAGCCTGAGGGAGGACCAACAGAAGTGATGGTTGATGGGTAAACAAGGAAGCCTGTGTGCAACATCACTGTCAGAGAGGATTATACACACACCACTAGTCTTGGCAGGTTTTCTTTCTCACCACGTTTCTCTCCCTATCTCTGCTCAGATCGAGATGATGGGAGCTGGGCCCCGGGGCAGAGGCAGCAGTGTCAGTGTTGGAGAGGGTGCCATGGCGAGGAGCGCTGGTGCCCCTCTTGCTGGCAGTGGTGCAGGAAGCCAGGGGCCCGTTCTGCAGTTCTTCACTAAACTGCGGCGCCATGCTAGTCTGGAGGGGGCCAGTCCCTACTTCAAGATCAAGAAATGGAAGCTGGACAGCAGCCAGAGAGCGTCGAGTCTGGACACCAGAGGTAATGGATCCTTGATGGTATAAAGTGTATTTTTAGAAACACTCTGTGCCAATGCAGCAGGGAGGTGCAACGATTCTTTGTGGTTCATCATAATAACTGAGTAAACAAAGTTGTACTGTTGACAGTTTCTTTCTTATGTAGATGTATTTTCTCTTTTTATTTGTGTGTTTGGTATTTTTGGCAATAATCTCTGGTGGTAAACAGACAATAGTTAAGCAGGGGGCTCCAGCAACCAACTGTGAGATGGCTTTTGGCCGCTTAGACTCGGAAATACACACAGACACACACACGTACGAGACAGATGGCTCAGTGACGTAAAGTTGGGTCGTTCCAAGTCAATTTGAGCCCCTGAGTAAATCCTCCCTGCCGATCCCCTTCATCCTATATACACACTCTCTCCCTGCGCATCCCCAGGCTCAGTCCCTCCATCATACCAAAATCCCCTCAGAAACCTCAACAGTTGATGGAAGCTTTCTCCTGAATCAAGTGTCACTTCACTCCAACCTGCTGTTACACAACTTGTACGACTCACTGCTCTTTCCCCCGTGTTCGCTGTGAGACAGGCTCTCCAAAGAGGAGACAGTTCCAGCGCCAGCGAGCCGCCAGCGAGAGCATGGACCAGGACGACAATGACGCGCACCACATAGACCTCATCCAGTACATCGCCCGCACCCAGGACATCGCCTACCGTCCCAGCCACCCCACCACACGCCTCCTCTCACCTCCCTCCACACCACCCCCCTCCCTCGGCAGGTATCTTTAATTCCCTTGCCCATTCATCCTGTTCACTGCTTTGCTGCCTTGCATTCATTTCTTTACTGTAGCTAGAAGACATATGGTAATGATATATAGTAAGATATGGCCCTACGTCCCAATTCTTCACCACTTTGCCTGAGCATAAAAGTGTGCTTTTATAATATGCGTGAAACACCATTGCCAAAAAACTCAAAGTGGTTGTTTTAGCCAGATGAGCAGGGATACAATTAAACCTGAAATGTCAGTGTCAAGAAAATTAAACTGTAAGTCATCTGAAAAATGTAGAAAATCCTGTTTGAAAACAGCCGTCTTGTGTCTTTTTGGCAAATTGTTTAGCGATGACATTTAATTGGATTAAAACAACATGCTGTGTAACTGTAAATACTGTCCAGCCACAGGCTGATTTGTGTGTAATGAGATCCCTGTAAACAAGAACCATTTCACGATGTGCAGCCAGATGTGGGGGATTCCCAAAGTGCGCTTTTTTGAGAGGGTGAAGTGGAGAATTGGGACGCAGGGTTTATTCTGGCATAGGAAACCATTCCATCGCTGACATGGTCTGAGAATGTCATGATGTCCACAGAAGTGCAAGGGCCACTGCGATTTTTGTTTAAGTTAATAATTCTAACAAAGCAAATTGTGCCCAACATTAAGTCATGCTACTAAAATAACTAACCTCCCTTTATTAAATGTTGTCTTACATAACTATTTATTTTATTTCACTTAATATTAGATTAAACAAAACCAGTATTTCCTGTGTATGTTTGCAGATGTTTGTTGTTGAAAATAAAAGCAATTTCCTGGAAGCCGCCACAAGCTAAGAAATTTGATGATCCTCGTGCTCCTTTACAGCTAATTGTTTCTGATATCAGTCAAGTTGTGTTTCATACAGTACGCAGTCTTTTTTAATCTGCTGCCCCGAGATGAAAACATTGGATTTCTGGGAATTTCCAAGCACGCGTGGCATCAGTATTCAGCTAAGTTTAGTTTAAGGACATGCAACAGCAGCCATTGCAAGTCATAAAAATCATTCTGTGCACTGTGAACACGGCCATGTGTCAGATGAATGTGATATTTAGGGAGATGCTCTGACACTGACACTTGTTTTGCCTGTCCATGTGTTCCTCCCCTTCCTTCTCTCTTTACTATTATCATTTTATCTCGTCTCTCCACACCTGTGTGCACGCTACAGGGTAGAGGTAGAGGTGATGGTGGAGCCCAGCTGCAGCCACGGAGGACCAGGGGTGATTGGCCTATCCCCTGATCCCCAAGATGAAGCACTGTCCCTGGCAAGAAGGGAAGGTGCAGACCCTTTGGAACCCCTAGATCCCCAGGACCCCCAGTCACTTTACAAAGACATCTGGACCCTACGTGCGTCACTAGAACAATACGCCGCCTCTGACCAGAGCAGCAACAATGACAGGAACTCTGTGTGCAGTGATGCTGAAAGTGTGTGTTCGCTGGGCGGGCGCACGGACACGGAGAGAGGAGGGCTGCCCAGCTACCCGTCCCAGGATTTAGGGGACGAGGCAGAGGGTGCAGACGATGACAAGGACATTTCGATGTATATGGATGAGAGGTTTGGGGTGAAGGAGGGAAGAAGAAGGAAACAGGAAAGCACAGATTCGGAGAGAGGCAGTGATGGAGAATCAGGGACTCGTAAATTGCTGCAGATGGACAGCGGCTATGCGTCGATTGAGGCTCCAACTCGTGGTCCAGAAGACCTGCGACTGTTCGGGAGCATGAGCGGCAGCCCTAAGGACAGAACAGCTCATGAAAAAAGGCACCACTTTACCAACGCAGGGCGAACTGGCACTATTGGTGAGAGCTTTGAGTCTCATCTCTTTGAGGAGGAACCGGAGGATGAGTTGTTGTTGGGTGCTAGTGGAGGAGTTTCCATAGAAACAGGTGCTGGTTCACTGAGCTGGTTCCCATATGGTCAGATGCTCACACCTCGAGAGGCTGCGCAGCCTTCACCTCAACCGCCAACGCTGCATCGGCGAGACTACAGCATAGATGAGAAGACGGACGCCCTCTTCCATGAGTTTCTCCGCCACGACCCTCAGTTTGACCAGCAAGAGTCACCGCTGAGGAAGCACCGGTCCCGAATTCACCTCCGCAAGCAGTGGCAGCGCCACAAGCAATGGAGCGACCCTGGTGTCAGACACTTCCAGTCCTCTTTTGACAGACAGAGAACCCCGCTACGGAGGGGTGAGAGCGTGAACTACCCACTGGACACAAGCTACCACAGCACGCTGCCCCGCATCGTCAGTGCGCCTGATGAGGAGGCCAGCGACGGGACCGGCAGCACTCCTGACACTCCAAAGGTAGAGCCTACGACTACTGAAAGTGGGCGCAAGGACAGGGAGCAGGGTGTCACAGACACAGAGGACCGCACCTCCTCTTCTCCTCCACCTCTTCCACCCTCTGTCTCAGAGAAAGACGTAGGGCAGGGTGAGCACCCCGACTCTCAGGAGGACAGCAAACAATCTGGACTCCCTCCAGAGCCCCCAGACGAGCGCTCGCCCCCTCAGCAGCACGACTCCTCAGGCTACGGCCCGCAGACCATCACAGCAGAGCTCACAGACAAACTAACTGCTAACCTGGATGAGAGGCTGTACATGGGCCTTCGCAGAACCAAGGACACAGCCACTGAGTGCGTGACGGTGACGGCCACGCACGCTTCTCCGGACCACAGCCCAGTGTAGCACGGCTCCAGTCGTCCTCCTCGTCAACCTCACTCCTGCTGATACACACTTTTCTTTTTGCTGATTTGTCTCGCCTCAGTTTTTTTCTGTGTACAGCTTGAATGGTGCAATCCAGACCCATAAACTCATAACGGAAAGTATGCTTTAAGTCATCGTCCTACATACAGCTGATCCACTAGAAATGCAGCCTGTCTGTCGTCATGCCTGTTAACATTACAAAGCTGTTCAGTGTTGCCGTTTTGCATTTTTCTCTGAGAAAAGATACAACTCATAATAACAAACAGAGCTAACATATCAAAAATCATATGGTTTTAGTAATAATTGTTTCTTCATCAGCTGTCTCTGTGTCTGCAGTCTGTCTCCGTCTCTACTGCTGTCACTCATGTCCCTGTTCTCTGGTGTGAATAAGTGAAGCTGTACTTGTTGATCCACTGTGAAACCAGGTGCTATTAGACGAGTAAAAAGCTACAGATCTGGACGCAATAGTTACCCTGCTAGTCCCATCATGCATTAGTGGAAAATAAGTAGTTGTATCACTATTCATGAGCTTAAAAATAATTTAGTATACCATCATTAAGCAATCAAAGCTTTATGCATCCTTAAGTTGTTCCTACTGGTTGTTTAGGACAGTAGTTCCCAGCCTGTGGTGGTCCCACGAGAAGTCTGACATGATTAAAAAATTATTTATTTCTTTTACAGAAGATTATGGTTTTCTTTTGGTTTGGTTTGGTTTGTGTTGGTTTGTTGTTTTTTGGTTGGTTTTGTCGTAAGCGATTAATAGTTAAGGACGACTCTGTCCCCCATGAATCAGCAACTTCTAGCAGCACTTAATATTTTTCACACTGATATTGATATCAAGTGTTGTTAATTCTACGAGCCGATTTACAACAACCTGTCTAACTCAGTAAAGATTGACAGCATGGCAGCTCCCAAAAAGTGAAGCCAAAACATCTCAAACGCCCCCTGATGGCTGGCTGCAGTGCAGGTCATAAACTCCGCCCCCTCCATGTCAGCAGATAGGACATGGTCCAACTTAAACCATCAAAGTACATGTTTAATTATTTGATGTTATAGACCCTTTTACTATTAATTAACAGTATGACGGTCTTCGGTGGGCGGGGCTTAGCTGGAGGCAAAACAATTCTACACAGTCATTAGCCAGTGCTAACAAGTTCCGTTGGCTTGTTTTAGACAGTGGAGGAAGATGATGCGAGTGAATTTACGAACGCACCGTGACAGGTCACTCACTCTGCAGGACCGTGAGTGTTACTTAAATAAATAAACACTGACCAAACTGGCCAAAATGTAACATTACGCTGTCACTTAGTTTGTTTTGCTATCGATGCTAACGTTAGCTAATGCGCTAAAAAGTTAGCATTATGGAGAAATCCAATATTTCTCTTATTACCTCCCCGACTTCCGATGAGGTGGACATGATAACACATAATACACATACCGTTATCCATCCCTACAACAGGAAATACTTTTTCCCTAACCTGATATGAAGTGTGCGCTGCACATGGGAGCATTTTTGATGATCGCCTCCGTCCAGTTCTTTCGTCTTATTGCATGTGACCAAAGTTTTCCTCGTTTTTATTGACGGGCAGTGGTGGCTGGTATGTGATAAAAGGTTAAGTTTTGAGCCATGACTCCTTCGATTCTGGCTCCCAGTAACACAACAAGACGACATTTTAAGACTCCTATGTAGCCTACAGCCCTGTGGTGGAGTCATGATTTGCCTCCAGCTAACAAAATGACATCATTGTGACGTCGACCCTAAAAGGTTCTATTGAAAGGGTGTTTGACGTCATGATTGACAGCTGTGTGTGTAAATCAGTGTGCTCATGATCTATAGCACTGCTCAGGATTGGGTCGGATGTGTGTATAGGCAGGAACTCAATACAGCGGCTTCACGTTCTGATTGCTACTGCACAGACTCCAAATGATGAAGATGGCACTGTCTGTATCTGGGATATTTTGGCTTCACTTTTGTACAATGGGAGGAAGGGCAGACATGTCGTCCATCTTTGTATTCAGTCTATGGTCCAGTCATGTCAGCAGCAGTCAAGTCAAGTCATCAGGAGCCACAAGTAGACAGTGCTTGATTTTATGGGGCCACAAGCCAAAAAGGTTGGGAACCACTGGTTTAGATTGAATAACACAGTTTGCAATGGCCAAAAAAGTTTCTCCCATAAGGTGTTATTTTAAAAAGAAGATATCCTTTGATTGTCCTCATTGCGTGTCTGACTGCAGCCCAGTCGCCAGAATGAATATTGGCATTGTATGTCACTGCAATCCATGGATATGTAGCATTTGTACGTTATTATGTACTAATGTGTGGTCACGTTTAGGTGCAGAAACCAAGAAAAGATCATGCTTTGTTTTAACATCCGGTTTTGGTGGCACAATCATGGCTGGAAATACCGCTAATGTCACTCTGTTCTCTAAAACAGAGGTGTGCAGCTTGGCAGACATCCACCCCCTCCACCTCCCGATGACCAATTCAGCTCATATAAATCTAATCAGAACTACGTCACTTTACAAACTTTTATATGATTCGTATGAAACGTACGAATGTAACCGTGGTTTGCAGAAATGTACAATGCCAACCTTTTCTTCTGGCGACTGGTCATGATGTTTGTTGTTTCTGGCTGAAAATGCTTCTCAGCTCTGTGACAACTGTGTTTATTTTTTATTGGTTTGTTTTATGACTTTTAATATATTTTTGTACATCTGCTTTGCTTAAATGACAATGAAAACAGAGAGTGCGGCAGGTTTGAAGAGGACAGGTTCTGCGCCAACAGACAGAACTAAACTCTTTATCAGTCATAGACACGATTTTAATCTCCATAAGCTATGACTCTTAGTACTCTAGGCGTCACTGACATGACCTCTGTCCTGACAGGGAGAACAAACTCAGTCTCGTGCACAGGTTTACAGCCATAAGGTGGGCAGTTACATTAAAGCTATGAGACAAGATGGCTGCCCTCACTGATGTTTGGTGTTTATTGAATTTATAAGAAAGGCATGCTTCCTTGTGCATGGGACTCACAGAACAGGCTTGATTTGTCCGCATCTGACATTCTTGTTTTCCCCTCCTCTTCCTCTTCTTCTGCTGAGAAAGTTGACATCGCAGTAGATGCCTCCCTCAGGGGGGCCGAAGACTTCACTTCCTGTCGACTTGTAAAACCAACAAAGACGTTGTTTGTAGTTAAGTCCACTTTATTTCCCTCTCTTATTTGGCGCTTGGTGAGATTAAAACAAACTGCTACTGCCATTCCAATGGAAACCCCGAAAGCGAATTACTTCCTGTGGGCAGTGATTGCCAGAATTATGTTGAAAATCCATCTTTGCTCACAGATCTCTGCTTTTACATCCTCAGCAGCAGCAGCAGGTTGATTGTAACCCAGTCACGCTCGTAAAATCTCATTCTCAGAGGGGCTGTTGGGCTTTCCGTCTCTCCCACGTGCAGCGAGGGGAGCCACTGCAAAAGATGGTGTTGAATATTAATCATAACAATAGAGGGGTTTCCGCCTTTCATCCCCCGTCTCCCTTCCCTCGTTCTTTGAGGCCGTTACCATGCAGTGCATTGAAAGACCTGAATAGCAAATCAGGGGGAAAAGAACATTATCCTCCTCTCTTTGTTTGGGTGTGATGATGATGATGCTCCTCTCCAGTCTGCCTAGATTAGATCTCTCTCCGCTGCTTGACAGGAGTCTCCTCTTGTGGCTAAGTGCAGAAGCTGCGTTCCTCATTAGGAGAGCAATGACTGAGATGAAAGGACTCAAATAAGGAGGAGAGAGGTTTTTTTTTTTTTTGCTCCCCTCACACACACATTATGTCACCATGAAACACAATGTGCTCCGGCACAATTTTGTGCAATCAAACGACGTTCTTTTTATGGCGGCGCTAATCAGCAGAAAGGAAATTAATCCCCCTCTTGGTTATGATGGAACTGATGAGTCCCTGATGATAATAATTACTCAGCAAATTCTGACAGGGTTGGAGACAGGAAGGGGGAAGACAGCTGCATTTCCCACAGATCAAAAGCCAAAATGTCTAAGCGCTGAGTCAGATGACAGTACAGCAACCATTTAAAGAAAACGGCCATAAGGGTTTTCCCTACATGTGTACAAAGATGAAACTTTGCTGTGTATACAAGCACAATGTCACAGGAGCTAGACTTAATGGATGTCCTTTATTAGGTTTAGACAGATGCTGTATAACTGGGGACACTGTGGTTAATGGTGTTTGTATACTAACCAGTAGCCTGTCAAACGCATTGATGCATAGCTGTGTGTAGGTCTGCATGAGAGTTAACACTTTAGTACAGATCTTTATGTTTTCTCAGACTTACGGTACAAAATGATCCATAGGTACTGCTCATTTGTTCAAAAGGCAGAAGTGGAAACATTGGTATGACTAGAGATTTTGTACTTTTCCGAGTCATGCTAGGATGCTGTGATGAGATTTTGTGAGATTTATCTCTTTGAAAGTTAAAGTATTTCTGTAATCCTTGCTTGTTAGTAAACTGCTTAATTTCTCAAAGATTAAAAAAAAAAAAAACAAGCTTTCTTAACAACTTTGCTTTTGTTGAGCCTTGAGGGACCAAATTATAAAAAAAGGTGTTATTTTAGGGTTGTTTTCCAATCTGTGAATAAATGAATGAAGCAAAGGTGTTTCTAACTCACTTTATTTCAGGGGAATGGTTGTTAATCAAGGCGTGGGAACGGATCGCAGATAAGGTTCCCTCTCATGAATCTCATTTCATTTTTTCCTCCGTTGCTCGGGCTCGTATTGATTTCTTGCCTCTCCTTATCACCTCCTTCAAATTAATTGGAGAGAAAATCCAGCCTGTGATCTACAAAGGGAACATCTCAAAATGTCTGACCTCTTCTTCTTCTTCAGACCTTAAAGCCATCCTGCTGGCCCATGCCTTAAAGTGCAGAGCCAAAGTTTAGAAGAGAGCTAAAGAGAGAAATACAGCCACAGGGGAGAGCAGGGTTGGTTGGAACATTATTGAATTAACATGAAATAACCTTTCATTACTCACAGCCTACTTCAACAGTAATGAAATAGATACAGGTGCCTACTAACAATTCATCAAGTTTTTTAAAGCCCAACCCAACATGAAGGGCACAATTTTGGGAGTTCTACCTCCCCAGGAAGGTCGGGACAATGGGTCAATGCAGTCTAAATTTGAACACCTAATATTTAAAATGTCACTTGTTCATGTGTTCTTTGTGGAAAACTATAAAACTGTAGAATTATGTTTTCATAAATTACTGAGGTATAGAATTTGGCTGTACTGTATGGTCACCATAAGCTACATGTGGGCTACAGGATTCAGTAAGCTTTTGAGTTTGTGTCATTTTGGGGGGAAAAAAGCCTTTCTTGATTTTTTTCCTACTTTTTACGCCTCCATACTGATGCCTCCTCTCAATAGGTCTTGAAGGAATTTCTTCAAATTTGGCACGAACGTCCACTTGGAATTAATTACGAACTTATTAGATTTTTGTGGTCAAAGGCCAAGGTCAGTGTGACCTTTCAGCTGTCTCATTCTCCTGAATGCGATATCTCAAGAAGGTCTCGAGGAAGTTTTTTTAATTTTGGCTCAAACGTCCAGTTGGAGTCAAGAAGGAGCTGATTAGAGTTTGATGGTCAAGGTCACAGTGACCTCACAAAACATGTTTTTGGCCATATTCCAACCCCATGGACAGTTTCAATAAAATAAAATGATGAATGATGACATTTTATATCTTGAGCCCTGTTCAGACCAATGATTTACGGTGAGACGAAACCATTTTAGAACATTACAGAGAAAAGTTACAGACGTGTGAGCGCGACTCAAGCCGGCTGATGGTGTCACCTGCATCTCTGCTGGTCTACAGCCAACCGGGTTGTAGTGAAGTCCGCTGGTCAAGTAAAAATGACCACAGACAGCATGTTCGCTTGCTGCCGCAGGTGCTCCGTTCCCGCTAAGCCCTCTGTTTCCGTCCTTGTGGTGTGCCAGTGTCAGATGGTGGGTTGCTGATGCTGCTTGCTGTACGTTCCTGTGCCCCTTACACACGCATTCTCATTGACTGAATAATCTGCACTGACTATTTATATTATCGTGGTGTATTTATTGTGATTATAGTCCAGCTTATGCTTGTTTTGTTTCTGTTTTTCGCTGTTTCATTACTACATAACAAATGCAGCTGTAGCCAGTATCTCACCATCACTATCCTTAGTCATATTTTAAGAAGCTACAAATTATATTTAGCCACAAAATAAGCCTGAAAATTGCTCCATCCTTCTCTGCCGTAGGCCTCCACGTGTAGTCCCACTGCTTCCTTGTTATATACCTTTTCACATCCCACACCTGTTGCTTGTTTCGCTGATTGCAGCCTGAGGATTGTCACTGTGCACTTCAGGGGCAGAGTGCATGCAATAATAAAGACACAGCAATCTTGGCATGTATCTGATTAAATGATCAAAAGCAATCCAAGTAAAAACACTCAAATGATAAAAAGTCATAACAAAAACACTCTAAGATCAAATGAAAGATTCAAAAACATGCAACAAAGGAAAAAACACATGCAGGACAAGCCCCTTAATCCTGACCCTGTTACTATAACTTGCTTAAAAGGCAGCATCCCAACTTGTCCCCATGTCACAACTGACCCCGCTCCCCCCTACTACTGCATGACACTGATGATATATGAAAGTCAAGGCGAAGCAAACTGAGTGTTGGTGGATAAGGTGGAGACTGTAGCTCCTGATGCAGAGAGGAAAGTCATGAATACACAGCAGGCATGCAGTTATCAAAATATTGTGTTATTAATTACAATCGTCTCTGAATGATCATTAAATGATCCTAAAAAAGAGGAAAAACAAAGATTATATGAAGTCAAACACATTCAGTAGATTGAGTCGCAGCCTGTTTTCCTCTCTGCCCCGAGCCATATCATTTCATGTCATTTGTTCACTTAGAAAAATACAATTTTCATAACAGCAAATGTATTGTCCTCTATAAAATCACTGTCAGTCGACTGATTTAATACACATCACTTTGCACTTCATACTGACGGACTGAGGGATGACTGGTGCAGTCTAAACAAGCTCCATTCATTCAGTGAAGACAGTCAGACTGCCGCCCCTCTCTGTTCGTTTCACTCTTTTGCATCATCCTGTGCCTTTTTCTCCGTCACTCTTTATTGCATGTCAGCCAATCGCTGAGCATGACACCTTAACGGTCAGCCAATGCTTAGTTTGCAGAGGGGGTTCCTCCTGCAGTATGTGGGGGTACGTCATCGTCTGTGCAGGGTGGAAAATCCACTGTAACATCCTTTGAGGCTGTGAATGTAAGCCTCCGTGCTGTGTGTGCTGTGAACTTGGAAGCGACCAGGGCCCAACAGCAAATTTGGCTCCATATAAATATTCAAAATCCCACTGACATTTGTAATAGCACAAATGACTAAAAATCCAGTCTTGGAACACAGCCTTATTCAACAATATGTCATATGGTACGCATTAAAAATGGCAATTTAAAAAAACAAACAAAAAAAACCTATCTTTTCTTGTTGTAGCTTTCCCTCATTAGTAGCCTCTAACAAACACCATTTCCCATAAGCCTTGGACCATTGTGTGTTAAACACAAGCAGCAACTTCCAGGGCTGAAAAAAAAATGAAGCCAACAGGGAAGCAGCAAAAACTCAGTCATTGCTCAGGTATTAAACCAACACCCTGGTCTACGCGCTAATTTTAGCCCCTAGATGCAATGATGCACCACCACAAAATACTGTCTGTCTCC